TCAGATATGCCTATTGCACATCTGCAGCAATACTGCTGCAGTTACTTAGCAACCAGTGAGAAATTATGTATAGGAAGATAAAAATTAGAAGCAAATTGAGCTGAATAAAAGGAAAGCAAATACCATACTAACATTCAGTGTGCCTAAATCCATAGGGCTGGCTTTGCTGCATGCACCACCAACTGTTGAACATTGTTAAAATAGCTTCTACTATATAAAATCAAAGCTGAGTCTAACTTAGATTTGAAGATGTGTTATCTAGAATCCGATGACTATATCCTCTTCTCTGTTTCATATTAGGAGCAGAAAGACACAACAAAATGAAGAATGCTATGTTGGCCAACAGCTTTTGGAGGTAAGTACCATCCCTGTCACTGAGAAAAGAAAGCAACCTCAACAGGACTAATTTACAAGGAGTAAAATTCTACTCCCTCTATTGGAAAAGAATAACCATGGGCTTTCTGAAGGATTGGAAACTTGGCTGCTGCAGAAGGAAGCACAAACACCTCTGCTGGCCAATGAGTTTTATGCACACTTAAAATCTGTTCATATGGACAAACACATCATCCCCTTCTGGCTTGACTGGATCCCTCTTCTTCACAGCTCCCTACCAGCTCAGACAGGATTTAAAGTTTTCTTTTATTTACTTTAAAAGGTGAAGATTTCATGTATGTTCTGGAATGGGGCAAACATAATAAAACTTGTCTATATGTTTGCCAATCTAATGTAAATTTTTGGCTTGACTTTTATAATTTAGGAAGGAATTAATCACATTTTGAAAGAAATTACAGTCTTTACTGAAAGTAATGATCCTATGAATTATCACTGAGATTCTCAGCAGGATGTAATTATGTTTCTGGTAATTTGGAAAATGTAGCACTGCAGTTTTCTTTAAAAGTGAGCAGTGTTTCATCAGAAGGCCATATTACATATATCACCTTCCAGTGCCAGGAGAGTCTTAAGTATAAAATATCGGAGATCAAAATTGGTTTCTGTACTTAATTATTACATTATTTCTTATGTTACATTTTAGCAAAACTGCTGGCATTTACAACTCATTAATAGTTTTCTGTGGAATTAAAAGCATCAAAATAAAAAAAAATAGTATTTAATTTCATTTTTTCCACTGAAACACTCTTTTGTCAATAAACCGCACATACTTCCTGCACTTTGCTTTCAAATTTGTTCAGAGGTAAAACCAGTCCAGAGTAAAGCCTCCCTCAAAACTCTCCATTAACTTAATTTTTTTCTAAGCTTTGCTGTTGGGATTTGAAAGATAGTAAGTCCTGTGTTCAAGACAACCTTTTTGGTCAATGCAAAAACTGTAACAAACTTCTTTTCTTTAAACGACTGACACTTAAAAAGACTTCATGATTTAGTTCAGAACCATTTCATTTAATGGGCTGATGATTTAAGTCTTCCATGGTGGATGAATCATAAATGCTGAAACCTAACACAGTTTTGGTTTTACAGTTTAATGGGCATCTGTACTGAGCAATGTATAAATAAAAAAAAATCCAAGTGACTATGCATCATAAATATTTATTTCCCAAATTATGTTTCCCTATCCATCAGACAGACCTGGGAGTGATGCTGAAAAATGTATTTGTGATAAACCCTTCCAGCAGCTGCAAAATGAGCAGTGGGGACATCTTGGGGTCTTTATTAATTTAGAGGTAGTAGGAAAGTGAGACTGAGTTTCTTAAAATTGTGCCCTAGCAGATTTCCTGACACATTTCACAACATGAGCCAGACAACTGTTTTCATCTTTCCAGTAGACAAAATAAAGATGACTCTTCATATCAGTGCAACTTCAGTTTTATATAAATTTTCAGTTAACAAGCTGTCCCTCTAAGTCAAGAGCTGTCCTTGGTGGTCACTGCCTGTAGGTACCATTTCTGTGCTACCAGGTATCTGGCAGTAAAAGGAGTAGAAAGGCTCTAAGAAGTTGGTGGTCCTGCTGGACTGCTAGTCTGGGGAAAGCTCTTCACAGTTACTATTAACTCTTGAATTACTGGTATTTTCCAGAAAAAAAATAGTGAATTCTTGATAGAAATTAATTTGTTTAACAAGCCCCCATTGTTATTTGAGCTGTTGATACCATAAAATCTTTCACACTGGGGGTTTCTGGGAAAAAAACCAGCAAATATGCCATTCATCATTCTTAGTTTCTACTTTTTGCTGTAATGTATTTTTAACAGCTCTAATTATTGCTTGGCTCTTGTACTTGAAGTGTTCTCTATGAGTCAGGCTAAAACTTGATACACATTAAATAATAAAAGAGAAGCATCCAATTAGTAAAAATGCATCCGAGTACTGCGCAATGCAACCATCAAGCAGCTGATACAGGATGTTTGATGTAATTACTGGGGCTTAGATGTCAAATGATTGAACAAGGCAGCAAATCAATGAACTGTACTTTTACAGATTATTAAAATCGAGAGTGGTGAGGGATCCCAAGGTATCAGTCGACACATTCTGCTGCAGTGAGTCATTTTTTGGCAAAAGTTTGCTGATGGATTATGAAATCTCCTCTGTTGTAGGTTTTAAGAACAAAGCCTTGACAATCTATGCCAATGCTTAGTCACCCAAACCATGAGAATTTTTTCCTAACATCTCATTTAAATCTTTCTGGAATTTAAACTCATTGCCTCTTGGGCTAATCACAGTTAGCATAAAGAACAGGTTGTTTTATTATTTTCTGCTGGAGCCTTGGCACAGAGCGGATGTTGCATGAGGGCTGATGAGTGCTGCACCCTTCCCTTCCCATCCTGTGCAAATCACTGCTCTTGCAGCTCCTGTCCCAGCAGCAGCAGGGTTGAAAGGGGGCTGCAGCACCTCAGGGGGTGTAAAGATCCAGTTCAGCCCTAAGGGCAAACAGATCTCTGCAAATCTGTCTCTGCTATCTAAGCCAAGACAAGGGCTCTCATTTGCCTCTCCTTGCTTGTTAGCAAAAATAACTAACTCTTGCTTAGAGCTAGAGCTTGGACACAGACTTCACTTGCATATTGTGAAGATATTAATATTTTATTTCTTCTTCAAAAAATTTTTGCTTGACCTATTTAAATAATATAATTGTTAAAAACTCCATACAAGCAGAACTGATATGTTATTCAACCTTGGGAAAACACTAAACTGAGATAAAAAGTCCCAAAGATTTTAAAGTTTAGGATATTGTCCCAACAGTAAACAAATTACAGCGAGGTTGTGGGAGGAAGGAAGCTTCTGGAAGTTCCCTGCTTGCTTTCTTTTCTAGCTTATAGTCCTGACACTGAAATAGTTGCTGACCTTTCACTGTGATATTACAGAGTGAAAATGAGGACATTCTGATAGGAAAATGGAGCATTGTGTGTCATCATGTACAAATCATTAAGGCTGGTACCCTGAGATAATTGACTAGCCAGGACATTTTCAGAGAATTAGAGAGAAACCCAACTATTCAATTTCACTGCTTCTCTGTGAAGTGTAAGTTAGTACCTGTTTTTAAATGAATGTTCAATTGACTGAGAAATCCCAAACTGGTAATTTGGTTGTGCCCTCAGCAGTAACTGTGGCAGGCTGCGTGCAGCCCCAGCCTTTCACTGTGTGTCAGACAGCAGGAGAGGAGCAGGAGGATATGAAGAGCAGGAGAGGAGCAGGAGGATATGAAGAGCAGGAGAGGAGCAGGAGGATATGAAGAGCAGGATTGTCACAGCCTCCTGTGCTATGCACCCATCTCCCACTCCACACCACGCATCAGCAGACATCTGGCAACTAGAAGCTAAACTGAAGCTCCTCTGGTGATTGCAGGGCTGTTTCCATAAAGCCAAGGGAAGATAGCACGTAAATACACAACACAGAACAGCTAAAAGCCACATAATGCAAACCTTTAGGGTGAATTGAATAGTTGTATGGGACAGGGTAGACATCTGGAGTATTTTGAAGAACTGTGACAGCAATGACAGTCTCCTCTCACTAAATCCTCAGCAAGGTACAGAAGGAGCATGTTGAGAAATGAAACAAATGTAAAAGCACTAAACCCTTTCATCAGTGAAAGGGTTTTCTCAAGGTTTGTACCTGGTATTTCACTTTAATAGCCTCACAGATCCAGCTTGGCAATAAAATACATAAATGTAACATCCTCAAACAGCCTGCCCACAGCTTTTAAAGGAGAAATCAAGAAATCAAGGTGCCTGTGGCTCCTTCCCTGGCCACTTTGGCTCCAGACAATACTGGGGAAGGCTGCCCTGTGCAGGCCCCTTCTTTACCCCCTTCTTCTCCCTGCTACAAGGTGTTTAGAGGCAAACCCAAAATGAAAAGAGATTATTCCCATCAAATTCACATGAAAAATACTTATCTGGAACACAGGTATTTATTATCCTGATGCTCATGTTCCTGGTCACTTCACATGAACAATGGTGGAAGTCACCTGAATGGTATCCAAGGAGACAACTTCACTGAACTAAAATAATTAATCCTCTCTTGCTGCTGTTTACAGCTCTTTTTAAGCAGGCAGTGACTGATCCTGCAGAGCCGGTTATGGCTCCTCCTTAAGGACTGCTTTATACAGATATGTACTACATTTATCAGAACTGGGTTCGCCTCTTAAAGTAATGTTATTAAGCTTTTCCATTTCACTCCTAGCATATTATTTTCTACTTTTAACTACCAGCCTCTAGTTCACATTAATTCCCCACGGATTTAACTTCCCTTTAGTTTCAGTAACATGGCCATCACCCATATGCGATTGCATTTCTGGTGTATAATTCGGATTTTGCCAGCAGGTGTCATCAGAAGGCTCACCAGCGGCTCGGCTTCCCGAAGGATTTGGGAACCCCGAGGTTTGCGTGGGGAGGTATACGGGGGGTGTCATTAGCTGCCAATAAACTGACACAGTATTAAAGGGGTAACACTTCTGGTTTCCTCACGGCTTCCTTTGTTTAGCTAGACTTTGCATTACAGCAATAGAATACAAACCACACGCTCCAGATGTTTGCACTGTGGTGGGGACACCAGCCTACCTTTGTTTTCCTAGGAGTCATTCCAAAGTCTGCCTGGATTTACAGTCCTCATTAACAAGCCTAGAAGAAGTCATTCTTCTTGTGTCTGGCCTTAAAGGCTTTTCAACCAGCCATTGGAACTCCCACGAGATCTACAGGATAAAAAACAAATTGGAAAGGCATCAGATAGGACACACTCATTCATTCCAGGGTTTCTGTAATGCTTCCTTCCTTCCTCTCTTCCTGGTAGATTGTGAAGTAATTTTTTTCCCAAGAAAATGTAGCTCTTCATTTTTGTTCTCTATCTCCCCCTCTTCAAATTTTCAGTTTTTTCAACAAAAAAATATTCAATGATGTTTCTACTTGCTACAGTTGACCTGCCCACTTCTGTAGGCCATCACCTGGCCAGTTCTCCATTTCTATATTAATTTACTGCATAGGGCATTTCCTTCTTTTCATCTGAATCAGAAACTTGGATGAATTAGTGTTCCCCAGGGCTGTTAATTAGACACGTGATACAGAGGAATAAGCTTGCCCTCATTTCTCCCAGGCAGCTGGGCACTGTGGGATCTTGCTATCCCCCTTGCTACCTGCATGGGGGCAAAGCAAGCCCAGCCAGCAGGGTGCCAAGGTGGCACAGCCACTGCTTTTTTAGATATCATGTGCTGGAAATTTACAGTAAGAACATTGCAGTAAGGAAAGACCAGCACCACTAAAGTCTTTAGTATCTTTCAGACAAGCAAATCAGCTCCAATGCACAAATAAATTACATATTTCCAAATTTTTGTTATTTTGTTTCAGGTCATAGAACATTTTAATTGATTGATCAATTCTGATAGGTCTAGTTTTCAGATTTTTCCATTTTGAGGTGCTTTAGCTAGACTGCATGCTGTCCATCACTTTTTAACTCAGTTGACTTCTAGCTGGGCCAACACATGATCCTGCTTCCCCCTGGGATTTGAGGGGAGCAGCCCTGTGTCTTCATTTGCAGTTATTCTTATGCGTGGAGAATAGCAATGTCTTCTTCAGTCAATCTCTAGGAGGATAGAAAGAAACCTGATTAAACAAAGCAAAGAAGAGTCTCGAGCTAGAAACCCTCTACTTCCCACACCCTTGATGCCCAGTATTGGAAGCACATCAGGCAGGAAAGGGGTCCCAGGTCAGTACTGAAAGCCTGGCCTGTGCCTTTGTCTTGCATGAGATAGGCTGCTTACATAAAATCCAGTCTTCAGAGAATTCCATAAACTGAATTTACTGCTAAGTACAACCCCTAGATTTCACCCAGGATGGGTTGTTATTAATATCCCATCTATTTGACCTAGTTTCTGTCGACTGTAAAGTGCCACATTTAAATTTAACTTCTGAAGGAAAAATAATTGAATTGAAAAATCAATCACTAGGCAATTTCACATTAAGTTCATTTAAGGTCAAGTTATTGCTGTCTCAGAGAATAAAAGTTTTCTTAATGGATCAAGTTCAGGAGTGATGTGAAATCAGGCATAATTACATACTGGCTAATGAGCCTAAACTGGCACACAGCATACATATTGAGAGGTATATATCCATTTACACCCTCTTTGACTCACTTCTTACTTGGACAAGAAGACAAGGGGCAGGAATTGCCACCAGGGGCTTTGGATGGCTCAAAAGGCCACAGCTGAGGCAGACAAGTACCAGCTTGCTTCCTGCATGAGCAGGCCAGGACTTGGCAGGGGGATCACAGGTGGCTGCCCAAGGGTATTTCTGCTCATATGCAGGAGCTATGCCAGATGTGATCTGCTGTGGGTGGCTGTCCTTTGCAATCCATATGGCACCATTTCCACCATTCTGCACCTTCCTAGGGCTCTAAGGAAGTCCTAGTCCCAGTCCAAGGTAAAATCCAATGTGTTCAACTTGTTTAGACTTTAGTCTTCTTCCATTGTCAACTCTATGTTTTGAATTTCTGTAGAAAATCAATCATAATCCAGTTTGAGAGGTTCTTGGATTTTACACCTAATTGGTTCTCCAGCTGAAGGTGCTTGGGTTTCCACCTATTTTTTCAAATTGAATAATTTCATTCAGCAGAACATGATCAACAGAATTTTGTAGTACTATGAAGCATAAATATTTTCTAACTGCATCATGGTATATTCATCTCCACTGTTCACAGATCTTAGCTCAGTGTAACTCGGTTCTAAATTAAGTAAATAATTCCAGATTTAAGGCTTTGCATTTGGCTTTTGGGCTTTTTCTTTTCAATTTAGCTTATGGGCTCTAATTAAGTATGAAAGTATTTGCCTATAAAAAAGAGGCACTAGTATTTTTGTTACATAATGATAAATATAAGTTCAGGTTATGTTTTTAATATGTCTTTTCACAAGTAAGATTTTATCATATACTATATTTTAAAATATCTTGTTAGGTTCTGTGGAAAATAATTTTATTGACTTACAACAATAAACTCTGAAGTAATTAATTGCTTTAGGATAGTAATCAGCAAAGTACTTTAGAAAAGTATCTTTTTCCTTTAATGACATATTTCTCAATCTGTTTTTAGGGAAGATATGTTGGTTGTCCTAATTAATTCTTGCACATAAAGTATATTTAAAATATAGCCTTAACAGACTCAGTTTTACAGACATGCAGAACTTCTACAACTTAAAGCTGTAGTGCTAAAGGGGAAAAAGCTAGAAGCAAGTTTAACTGCATTCATCTTAAAATAACAGCAGCTGGCCACAAGAAAATGTATCTATCTGCATTACTTCCTTTACTCTGAGATGCAGAATAAATCAAATATCCCTTGTGCAACTCAACAGTGTTACACTTTTATTCCTAGTTTTGCATTTCAAGGTAGCATGGAACTTTAGGAGTCACAGATTTTTAGTCTTTATCTGCACATCAACTCGTAATTTCTAATATACAGATTCTTGATTTTCTTTTCTACAGGCATGACTGTGGGAGGAGCACAGCTGGTGAGACAGCTGCAGTGAGGCTGCAAGGATTCTGCTCACCAGAGACCTACAGATTTTAGGGGTGCAATTCTTTCCAGTCCCCTTTTTCCTGTTTCCTTCATTCCTGGGTTAGTGAAGGAAAGGAAATTCCTTAGCTGAAATTCCTTTATGCAGAAGTTCTATGACATTTTTGTCCACTGTATTTTTCCTTCATCAGGAGATCAAGCAAAGCAGGTCAGAGCACAGAGCTGGGCTGTGTACTTTGGTCTCAAGGCTTCTTGTCACAGCCAAGGCTCTATCTCCAGGAGAAGGCATTGGGCAGATCAATGACAGCATGGGAGGACTCTTTGAAAATACAATTAATTACAAAATCAGATTTGCCTAACTAAAAAGCTCAAAGAGTTCTTCTAACTTAGCCACATCTTGAGAATATTAAAAATTATTTTCAGTACATAAAAATGCATCTAAAAAAGGAGACCAGAGAAGGATGCTCAGTGTGAAGTTTGCATGCAACAGTAAATCATATTTTATCTTCCTTTTATTTATTTTGTTTCTTTTAATCAATCTGAAAGTTTTTTTAGCAGACTGAATATTTATTTTATAAACCAACATTCAGCTGTTTCAGGTGTGAGAAGCTCTACTGAGCTTTTCTTTGGTCTGTTGTTGTTCTCCTGGTATGAAGTCTCTGTGGGAGCTGCAGAAATGCTTGGCAGCAGCTCTCAATTCCTTACAATGCCTACACAGAGATTTCTTTGGAGCTTCACATTCACCCTGTATACTTTCAATCAGTGCCAAGAAGAAAAGCATTTCTCCTGGGAAGTGGTGGTGTTAATTTTTTGGCTTCTTTATAATCTAAAGGGATACTAGTCAGTCATGTTATTCCAAGGTTTAACTTTGAAAATTGAGTTTCAACACAGCAGAATTTTTTTTTTTTTGTTTAGCCTGTTTAAATGCTGCTAGAAATAAGATCAGTCCCAGGAAATAGGGGAAAAATCCCTCTATCAGCAGTATATGCAGACCAAGTGTCATGTCTTCTTAACAGTACACAGAAATAAGAAAATCAGTCAGTCTGCTCTACTGTTACAATTTGATTTTTTTTCCTCTTTATAATACCTGTCCATACTTCATAGAGATCAGCTAATGTATGGCTCCAGGTTGTACCACACCAAGGCAGCCCTGCCTGTGGGCTGACTGCATCAGAGTCATGAGCTGCAGGATAAGTGCCAAAGATCAGAGAAGCCAAGCATCCAAGATTTCCAAAAGCCGTGGCCAGGACACTCAGCTGTTTGAGGAGAATGGCATCACTGTTCATCTTTCCTGTTATGAGACAAAGAAAAGAACTCTGATGTGATCTCCAATTTACTTTCTCAGCTATTCCCTTTAATAACAGATAATGGACAAGAGACTGACTTCCCATCAGCACAGGGCCCTGGCAATCTGTTTCACAGACTGCTTTGATTCAGTCCTGCTAGAACTCCCCGTGTCTTCTTTTTTTTTCCAAAAATCACTGGCTGGTTTTAAGGTCCTGGTGTTTCTTTTCATGAGCACACAATATAAAAAACTCCCTTTGTCTCCACTGCATGTGAAAAAGACACTCACAGAATCAAAATTATCTTATTTTAAATCAAACTGGAAAGCACATGTGTTGGAACACATCACTGTGTGAACTGCTTGTTGAAAGCAAGCAGCCAAGAGTTGAGAGAAGGTGGGAACAATCACCACTATCAACCTTCCAAATACCAACCAAAAAAATTTGATGATTTTCATGTTCTCTATCTGTCATTATAAGATAATTCCTTTGACAATGTGGCAAAGTATATTCCTAAAATGAAAGAGGACAATTGTAATTTTTTTGTTCCTACTTTCTTAAAAGAAACTTTATATGCTATCTGGAGTCCATTTCTATTGACCTTACTCTCTGGAAGCATCCAAGTATATTTTAGAAGAATCAGATAATTTAATATGTGATTGAACTTGAAATAAATTTTCCATATGGCATGTTTTAAAGAATGTCTGGCCATATCAATACAAAGAATAAGTTCTATTAAAGTTCTATCTTCAATATCAATGCTCTATGTTACAGAAATAGGGAGTTGAATGTCTACTTTAGAAGAAACGCATGCAGGTGAATAGAAAGAAATAACCATCACTATGCCAGTTCCTTCATTGCTTTCTGGTAATTCCTTGACTTGGAACATTTGCCAACTCTGGAGATGCTGACAGTAAATGTAAATGTGCCTTGTACTGCACATCAGAGCTTTTTCAAGTCACAGGATAAGATTAGGCAGTTAAAATTGTAGCCCCTAGCACAAGAAAATGAGAAAAGAAATTGAGTGTTTTAGCACGCAAATATATTTTGTAAAACACAGAAAAAGAAATCCCAGTAGAATGGGTTGGAATAGTGAAGTTCCAGGAATGGTCCACTTCATAAGATCTATCAAGCCTCTGTAAAACTGCTCTTTAGTTTAAATCTTCATTTAAAAGTTATCTTTAAGTGACAACTTAAGTGCATTTCAAATCACAACTTAATTCTTGCTCACTCATGATTAAACAAAAACCGATGGTGGTGTTTGTAAATGTGTTCTCCTCCTGAAATGCCTGTGAATGCACTGCACCTCTCAGTAGCTCACACATCACCACAGTGCAGGGAGAGCTCCCTCTTCTCTTGCAGCCTACCTTGCCCACTCTCATCTTGCTGCCTCCTCCCTCAACTGCTGGAGCATCATTCTAACACATGGCAAGCAGTTGCAATGCAGATTTAAAGTGTCTCAAATTTCCCTTGAGTTCCTTTGAAAAATAGATAAGAGCAATGACAGGCAACATATATAAGGAGGTGAGTATTTTCAGGAGGAGAATAAAACTATTTAATGCTTTTTTTCCCGTGACAGAAGACTGCAGAGCAAGCCAGCTCTGATGATTTAGAAGGCACCAGAATGTTCCCAGCATTCAGACCCAGGGAGGGAACGGCAAAGTCGTTATTTTAAAATTAACTTTTTCATTTGAAAATGTGGATGTAATTCTTATCACCCTCTACATTTGAACAATTCTGGTGCCTTTGCTACCACTAATCAGGACTCCCACACTAAACAATTTACAGAAAGCAACCCCTGAAGCTGATTTATGAGCCAGGTGCCTTGTCTGGCAGCACAAAAAGCACACGTGGTAGAAAGTATCTGTGTTTGCATGGTCTCCTGCCCTCAGGTATTTGTCAAAGGCGGGTAGGGGAGAAGGGGGAGAACATAACCAAAGTCTGTTTAGCATCAGCAAGGAACTGAGTCTGAGATTTATGTTTTTTTCTGTCACAGATAAAAACTTCATTTGTTAATGAAGTTCAGCCTGGTGTCAGGCATTATGTTCCTGTTCCCCTCTCCCTTTCCTTGGGGAATGAATAATTCAGCAGCAAACATGCACCTGGGAAAGTCACAGGTAAAGCTCATACTGGATGGGGCTTTCTACATGAACTCTGCCTCTGCAATCAGAGGCAGGAAAACAAGATGCAGGAAAAACCTCTGGAAAGGAGGGAGGCATAGACTTGAGACACTGGAGAATTAACTTTTCCACAGCGTGGCTATGTTGCAAGCAGTGCTGTTCTCCAGGGTGGCTGGACTGTGTTCCAAACAGGAGCATCACCCCCAGTGGAGTTACACTGGCAAGAAAGAGCAGGGGTGGAGCCAGTGCATTTGGTTTCACATAAAACAAACCCCCACTATTTCCTTTGCACCGTTGGGCAAGGGGTAGGCTCACACTATTGGACTGTGAACACTGGCTGAGCAGCTCTGGTGAAGTCAAGCAATGAAGATCCATTTTTCATTCAGCCTTTGCAGAAAACGTTAGAGAATGTTTTAAAATTCAAATTGCATATGAAAACCTGATTTGGCACACTGCAACATGAAAATTAGTTTTGAATCCAGCTACCACCTCCCTTCCTGAGGAGATAATATGTCCTGAAAAGCAAGAGTTTGCAGGCATCACTGACCCTCCAAGGCAAGCGTCGTATCTGCCAGGAAATGTGCTTAGTATAGTCAAGGTTGACAGAGTTTCAATAGATAAAATAAGAAGACTCACTGTTATGCTGTCCCTTATTCTTAGGCTTTCTTATTTGCTAAAATCTGACATCAGAAAAATCTCATGACAGTTTTACTCTCCCTGCAGTGGTGGTGGTTCATTTTAGGGGAGGGGCAGGAGGTGGGTTTGGATTTTTGCTGCCATAACTGAGCTTTAGGAAATAAATTGAAGGTGGACTTTTGGTGACTTATAGTTTAGGGAGTTGAACTTTGAAATTGAAGGGCAGAATGGAAAAATCTTACCAGCACCTACTGGAAAATGAAAACAGAGTTCACTCGGGGGATGGAGAAGGGAGCTGACATCCTGACAAGCTATGAGAACTCATACCTAGGAGCCAGATAGAGGGCTAGAAAAACAAAGGCATGGTTTGATGTGGTCAAGGAAAGAGCTAGAGAGAGTCAGCAGATATAATCAGAGGGTGAGGAGGACAATACAGCAATAAGTTCAGGCATGGGATGACAAGAGATTGAACAGTGGGAGTTCCCCCTCTCACAGCTGGAGGAGAGAAAAGTGTCTTAATGGAGAAGTAACTTGGGTGGATGGCTCTGGGGAGAAACCTTAACCAAAAATTACATCTTTTATGAGCAAGATACCTCCTGAAGAAAATAAAAAATCCTGGGGAAACAAAATGGAAATGTCCCTTGCTGGACAAGAGCTGTGTCTGGATCTGGAGCCTTAGAGAGGGTGCTCATTGCCTGGAGTATCCTGAAAGCTGCAGCTCAGATTTACAGCTCAGTTCAGCTGTAATTCTGACAGCATCAACTGGCTGCTAAACATGTTGGACATTTAAATCTGCTGAAATTACATTGTATATCTAAAGTGCAAACTGCAGTTTTTGAAAAAGAAGCCTTTGTGCTGTGGCTGCTTCTGGCCTAGCAAAATAATTCACAGTAGCTAACATCTTCTAACAAATATATTTTCCAGCACTACCACAGTCAAATACTTTCACTTAAGATGGATGTATTTGTTTTAGCAAAACTCACAGAGGCCTGAAACACATCACATTGCAATTACTGCAAGGTCCTTTTTCTGGTCTGAAAAATACAGCCTCAGCCCTTCCCAAATCCAGTAACAATATTGCAGTACAAATAATTTCTCCTTGCTGCCACTTTGAGTGCCTTACCTTTTCAGGTAAATCCTCCTTCCGGTTCTCCTTCTTCAGCAGGCAAGATGTTTGTCTTCATTTTTTCAGGCATAGCAGGTGCCCACTGTGTTGTGAATCATCTGTCAGCATTTACTGCTGTAAATCCATCAGCTGTTAACTGCCCTGTAATAATATGATTACTTTTGATTTTTCAGACTTTATTATCTTTTAGAATTATTGATTCATTTAACATGACAGGTCTTCTGGAGGGCACCTACTCCACTACTACTCAAGGGTGGATATTGCAATAACCTTCCAGGCATGGCACCCACAATGCAGGCATTACCCACTATCACTTCAAAACTTTCTTTCATCTGTATGTTCACAATATACTTTCCTGCATCTCCTGGCTGCCTACTCTCATCTTCTCATGGTGCTTCTCTGAGAAACATCAATCTCTCTTCCCTGTGAGGCACTTGAGGACAGTGACCTTCTCTGGGCTCAACAGACCCACCTCACTTCCCTGAACACGATATGCTCATTTTTTGACCACCTTTTGACCTTCTCCCAGACTTGTTCCCATTTGTTGGTCTCTCTCTCACCAGAAGCCCCAGGCTGGAACACGTTCCTCCAGGTGAAGCTGTGCAGAGGGGCTGTCACATGCCTTAAGCTGCTGCCTGTGGCTCTGGTACCACAGCACTGAATGCAGCCCGGTTCTGCTGCCGCCAGGGCACACTGCACACCCGAGCTCCCTTTGTCCACCACAGATCTGGGTGTCCCCTGCCTGCCCAGGCCCTTTCCCACAGGGCTCCTGCTGGTGCTGGCCAGTCAGCCATACTGCACAGCAGGCTCCTTCCCCAGCTCCTTTCCCTGGCATCTCTCCATGTCCCCCAAGTTCCCATCAAACCAGGTCTCCAGCTTGCCTAGGTCCCCATGGAGGGCAGCCTTACTCTCCAGCACACCAATGGAAAATAAGGTTCCTGCTCTGGCACTCACATGTCCTGCCCAAAGACCCCACCCCACTGCACAGGTTCCTAGGGTTCTCTGTCCTGCCCAAGAACCCCATCCCACTGCACAGGTTCCCAGGGTTCTCTGTCCTGCCCAAGGACCCCCACCCCACTGCAGAGGTTCCTAGGGTTCTCTGTCCTGCCCAAGAACCCCACCCCACTGCACAGGTTCCTAGGGTTCTCTGTCCTGCCCAAGAACCCCATCCCACTGCACAGGTTCCCAGGGGCTCTGTCCTGCCCAGCTCACTGCAGAGTGCCTTTGGTGTCACTGGCCTGAAGGACAGAGCAGAGTGGCTGCCATGGGCTGCCAGCAGCTGTCCAGCTCCTGGAGCTTGGTGGCCCAGGCTGTCCTACAGCTCATTGAGGCCATTCCTCCTGCCTTTGGTGCCCACATTTGCCTGCTGGGATTCTGGGAGAGCTGGTGTTGGAAGCGTCACCAAAGCCAGCCTCAGAGCACCTGGCTCCCTTGGCTCTGCAGACGGACCCCTCATGGCAGCCAGGCAGCACTCAGGCCTTTTGGATGTGGTTTTGTGTTTTGTAAACCCGTGCTGGCAAATCCTAAACACCTACTTGCTTTCACATGCCCAGATCCTCATTCCTGACATTTTTGAAAACAGGCATGAAATTGTCCTTTTCACAGTCCCAGCAGATCTCCCTCAGCTGCAGCATTTCAAAGGCACTGTCTCAGATTGGTCTCCTCCACTTCAGGTACTCAGCAGGACCTGGCTCTTGGCATCCAGCACAGCACTCTATAGATACAAATAAATATGAACAGGACACAAAACCAAATATAAACATTTCTAAAACAGTGTTAATTTAATAATAAAACATTGTAATATAGAATAATTCTAGACACTAAAAAAAAAAATAGTTTTACCTGAAATGCTGGTCATTCCAAGAAATACTTAAGGATGTTTCAGCTGTCACTGGAAACAAGCAAAAACTATAGAAGCCACAGTAAGAAAATTATTGTGACCACTGTGAGCAGATGATGGCTGTGGAGATGAAATGTCCAACCAGGCATGAAAAAATAGTGAAGCACCTCACTTATTCAAGGTGACATGTTCAAAAGATATACAGCAAAGCTCACTTTACTGGGTTATTGCCAGATCCATAAAGAGAGTGGAACACTTCCTGCAGAGTTTAAAACCACCACGCTTTGTTCCCCAGATAAACGTGACAAAATCTTTTGTAAAACTTTTTCACCATAAAATTCATAGCTCAAGATCAGATTGTAAGGTAGTAAAACAAGGCAACATATTTTTAATGGAAAAGTCTCTTTTTTAAAGGAACTGCCTTTTAGTTTATCAGTAGATGAGCCCAGTGTAACGTTATCATCAGAGTCCAAGTGCTGATATCGACTGGGCAATGTCCATGCTAGCTCCTATCTGCTCTTGCTATCAGACCAGAACTGGAAGGAAAGATTTTATAACATTTTGACCTGAAGAAATGAGAGAGACACACACTAGTGACTTGTAGTGGTTATAGAATATTCTATCACCATTATTTTTCTTTTTTAAAAAGCAGTGTATATAAATATTCAGTCTGTACAGACTAGTGGACCAGATCTCTGTTTGATAACCCTTTGTGATACAAGGACCATGATCCAGTCACACATCCCAGCAGAAAGTTCCTGCTAATGTATTGATATCTGGTTATGGATCCTTCTTTGTCTTCTACAGAAAGATGGCAGTGCCAGGTGATAATCCCTGACCCACAGGGTGCCCTTATAGCTTTTGAATTTTAATACAGGAACAACTTGCAGCTCAGAGTGCAGCCACCAAATCTAGAATAATAGAGGATATGATCCCATTACTGTAATCTTACTACCTTAGTGGTTTCCACATTTGGTGTCTTACTCAAAATTCTAACTGCACTGCCAATATTATATTTCTATACTTGTTATATGTTACAACAAATGCATGAATTTCATAGCCAGCCACGTGTGACACTTCAGGAGAAGGTATCCTAACATTACAAAAAAGCTGCTGATTGCGTTTTTCAATGATACTTTTCTTTCTCTTGTAAAGCTCATTTTTTAAAAGGAGAGATCCCAGCGTAATGGGAGGATTTACCATTTTTCCTCTAATTATCATCTCAAATGCTTTGTCCTGCATGCTGTAGATAAAACTTTGGTGGCAAGCAGAATTTCAATACACAAAATACAAAAAGTTAAAAATCAAAACACAGAGTTTTGATTAAGAATCTTCCTTGGTTCACAATCACATTTTTTAGTTCCTTATATTTCACAGATTAATTCCTTTCATTGCTGAATGACATAACACATTCCTTCACTCTTCGTGACCCGAATATTTCTCCATTTTAAGATGCTCTTTGAAATAATCAGCTGTCCAAGAAATCTAGACATGCTTAAACCAGCCTCCTCCTTTTTTTGTATTTCATATAGGAACATTTTCACTTGCAGAAACCTGTAATTACTTTAAATTTCTTATTATCAACAGTAGAATATAAAAAGAAAAACATAGTGGTTTAATACATAGACAACTCTTGTTTCCTGAGGAACTAGTTAAAATACAGAGTTCTGTAGACCTAGCTTGTGTTGGACAGCAACAGGCTCCTGATAGGATTAACTCCTCTGAAGGGAGCTGAGCAGTTAAATCTGACTCCCTGCAAAACCAGGCACAGACAGAAGCACATGGCAAGGTGTCTCCCTGTAATCCTGTGGGTCTGAGAGTCCACAAGATTAATACAAAGTCAACTGCTCTCCCAGAGGATGCTAAAAGCTTGGATTCCCTTAGCTACCTCTTTGGTAGAGGATTTTCCAGTAAGTTACGCTCTCACAACACAACTAACAGCTCCACAGAACAGGGTAAATGGGGAGAATTGCACTTGCAGAAAATGATCTCTAATAATGTTGCTATGAGGTATATCTTGGTCTGTAAAATCTCTACTATAAAGTTTCTGAAATTTTTTTTCCCTTGGCCTTTGTGGATTTGTAATGGCCCTGTTGGCTTTGTATTAACCTTAACAGCCTTACAGTTGAGTCCTTTTACTCTTGTACTCCTTACTTTCCACTTTTTACTAACAAAGAGCAGGCTTTTAAAGAATAGGCTAAGCCTTTCAGCAGTAAAAAGACAAGTTCCCAGTTCTAAAAAAAGATAAGGCTTCCCCACACACATCCCTTCAAAAGCTTGCTGCTGGGTCAAGCAACTGCAGACTTTGCCCATACTTCACAGCAAGTCCTGGCTCCCAAGTGACCTGCTTCCAGTCTCAAGTCTGCCCAGGCTGGTTTTAAAGTTAATCCTTAATCTCCATTAGCAATGGCACGACCATGGTGTAGCATTTTGGTGGTACAGTAAAACACTCACATAATCACACACCTGTCTCTGCTGCATCTTCCTCCGATGCTCTGATGTAGTGAATGTTCAGTCTTGCTGCAAAAAAGCTCCAGTAAAAGCTGTTACAGGCTGCGGTGAGGAAAGACATTAAAACATGAGGGAAACAAACACAGGTTCTGTAATTATACTTTATTGCAACTCTGATGCTTTGTCTACTCCTGGAAGACTCCTTTAGCTAAATTTGTTTCAGGCATTTTCTTTCCGTACCAATTAAAACACAATAAGCATGTACAATTTTCTTATTATTTTATTGAAAAGGTACATTTAAAAAAATACACAGACATCTTACTATTATGGATTGCTGATAAAGATGCTCTAAAAGTTAATTCTCTTTTTTTTTCCTTTCTTCCACCTGTAGTCCTCATTATCATATAATGACTCCAGTCTGAGCACTGCATAATGATTCACCTTTATAAAAGGGTTGGGGAGGTAAGAAGATAGGTGGGACATTACTGTAATATATTCAGTAAACAGAGAATATGGTCAATTATAAATATTTTATGTTCTGTACATTATTGCATTAGGGAGCCACAATGTTATGCAGCATCATTACAAAGGAAACTAGTTAGAAATTAAGAAAACAGGATATTTACGTACAAACACATGGATCCATTGTCTTCTTGAACAACACATGTGAGCTGTGGCAATGTGCAATTGAAAAGCTTTTTTTTCTTTTTAAACATTGCTTAGCAACACCAGTGAAGAAACAACAAAAATAAGTTAAATGAAAGTAGCAAACAAGCAGTAATCTTAACTCTATGTTATATGGCTTTCTATTCTTGATTTCTCTAAATAAAGTATGACACAAAAGAAATAATTAAAAGCTTCAGCATTGCATTGCTTTCAAACATTTGCACAGAAACTAAAAATATTAAAGTCAGACATGGTACATCTGTAGTACTACACAAGATACACCAGTACTGGGGTCTAGGACAGCACACAATCCCTGTCAACAAGAGCACATAAAAATAATGGATGCAATTATTTTTTGAGATGTTATCTGCAATCAAGCATTTTGTTCATCTGCCTTTTCCTTTATTCCACATTAGATTATACCCTGTTGCTTTTCAGACAAGTATTTACATAGGTGTGAGTGAGGAAGACCCTAGTTTTCAAGTCTGTCAGGAAAATATTTTATGTTCCTTGATTCCAAGGTGCATCATACAAATTAAGAAAAAAAAAGAAAAAGAAAAAAAATAATAGATGCACGAATCTTTAATGGTATAAATTTTATGAGCAATTTAATTTTTAAGCAAATCACACTATTTTGATTAAAAAAAATAGAGATGGAGAGAAGACAGAGTTGTCTATACTCCATAACGCAGTGCCGTCAATGATGGATTTTATGATGTGGTTGGATGAGGTGTCATGCTGGATGGCATTGCAAAAGAGAAACATTTTAAAACCTCAACCCCTTTCCTGCTTTTCTTTGCTCTTTGTACTGGCCGTAGATATCTCTTTTTCACATCAATAAATTAGTATGGCGCAAAGAGTATGGAGGCAGGCGTTGCCCGGATGGGCCCGTGGGCTGGCCTGAGGAGAGCTGGCGGGATTGCTGGTGCCTGGAACAGGGATGCCGAGGGCCGGGGAGGGAGGGACAGAGCTGATGATACAGCTGCAGCTGCAGCAAGAGGAGATGAGAGGAAAGCAGGTGCCACAGGCTTAATCATGTCCTTCTGGAATGCAAGTTTTGCCTGGAATAAAACACACACGCAAAAGCAATGTAAATACAGTTCTCCCAGCACCCACTTTTGCACAAGGGAAAAACTGAACTTGGAACAGGGAGCACTGTGGCTTCTCACAGAAACTTCTTGTCAGCTGCTTAGAAATGTTACCTGCACTGTCCCTTACTCCCAGGGCAATTAAAGCTACCAGATCCTAAATCTAAAGATAAATAAATGTCTTGAGTCTAAGAGACCATCTCAGTGATGTTTAGAAAGAAGCATAATTTGTGAGTAACTTTATATAAATTATAACTGTGTGCATGAAATATTAAAAATAGTCCCAAGATTAAGACTTCAATAACAAAAGTCAAATTTTCCACTTGCAAAATTGAATTGTAGAAAAGTAGAGCGGACAAGATGAAAGTGGTATCAGGCCAGTCAGCTTTGTGCCTTCCAATGCAGTCCTGCTCTTTTCAAAGTAAAAACATTATTTAAGACTGATGCCAAAAAGAAATTTTTTCTGAAATATATGTATGACTCTCCATAGGATCTACAAGCTTCTGGTGAAACAGCTAATCAGAAATATATACAGCCATTTAGATATCTCTCACTGAAAATGGGTTGCACTACAATCATTCAATCGTGGAAGCAAAAATATTCATGTCCTTCCTTTATAATTGGTGGTCTCCCCTTATTCAATAGATGACAAAATGAGGTATTACACAAATGAAGAAGATTAGCATGGGCAAAACCTATCAAATGGGGAGACTTAGAAGACACCTACAGCATTTTCATTTGCCTCTAAACAATTACAAAGACATATCAATATTTTAGCATTTAAAGGCTTTTCACATGCTTTCTCTTACCTACACACAATTGCATCTGTCTCTTTTCAACCTATAAACTGTTTTTTGTGCCAGGGGTGGCGAGCACTTTTCTCAATGAACACTGGCTGTGTCATGGGCAAATAAACACATAAACTGTGCTGTGCTAAAGCCAGCGTGAACTCTGGCTGCAGATGATCAGCGGGACCAGCCTGGGGGACTCCTGGACATGCAGGTGGGTGTGACAGGGATTGGCTAGTGGCACAGAGATTGACTAGGTGTTTGATATCCAGTGACAGACATGGCCTGAACATACAGGCAGTCAACTCTCCTAAACACCTGATGGCTCTTGCACCAACTCATACATCCACAGAGCATTCAGGTTTGCTGTATGCAGAGAATGCGCACTAGTATATTTATATCTTAAAATTATCTCTATATCTTAATCCTGTGTCCTTTTCCCTGAGTGCATCCATCATAAGTTATAGTTATCTCAGGTGTGCAAAAAGACACAGTATACCCATTGGTGTTTTCAAAGAGCCCTCGCCCAGCAGAGCCCATACCTCTCCACGGGGCACATGGCTCATTCCCCATTCCACTGATTCCTCCCTTCTTTCTAGCAGTAAATAACACTTGCAGTGCTGTCTGCATGCCTTGGACTGTGCAGACAGAACACATAACTATCTTCAAATCTGATTCCTGTGCAGAGTCAGCCTGCAGGGGAAGAGAGGCTGCAAAAGCGTCGGGTCTGTCATGTTCCTGTCTCTGTGCAGTGGGAGTCCCCAAGGTCACAAATTCACACAGACAGTGATAAGAAATAAAAATACTTACTGCTAAAATACTTGGGTTGCGCTGCAGTTTGTTGTAAGGACTATATTTAGGCTTCATTGGCTTTCCTGCAACTCTGTCCTTATGCCTTCGGCTGGAAATGTGCTGAAATAAATATCCTCACATTTAATTAGCTCCTTAAACATTTCTCAGTTTTGAGTTTGAAACTGATTTATCAGCAGGATATGCCTAAGCCCGTTTGTAAGATAAAGTGGGCTCTTTATAGAGAGCAAGGATGAGTTTTGCTAAATTAAACATAACAATTTGGAGCATATCAAATAGAGAATCAGAAATTAATCAAATACAGCATATTTTGTGATTCAAGACAGGCAAATTATTGATATTTTGGTTACTATTTCCTTTTTCCACTTGAGGAGCTTTAAACCAGGCAGAGCTGTAATCACTAAGTTATAGGGATATTCAAAAGTAAGAGGTAAATTTCCATCTTGCTGATACTGTTGAGTTGTGTAAACAATTCAATATTATCTGAAGGAAGAACCAGTACCCAGGGATATGTCTACACATGCATTTAAAATTCTCTTAGAGCCAGCTGAAAAACAGGGAATAAGAGGACACATTCATACAGCACAGCACCATCCAGTCAGAGATTCCCATTTGGGTATCAGAATCACTGCATTTTTATGGGCACAGCTCTGAACCCAGGGCTAATTGGCTCAGACAGAGAACAGCTCCACAGGCACACAACAGCCACACTGTTAATGATAATGTTGTTCTACATAATTCAGACATAACTACAGTACTACCCCATAGGTGATGGTCCCAAACCAATAGATTTGAGTCATGTTTTCCTTCTCACATAGCATTAAATATTATTACAGCACACTGAAAACAACACCAAAAGATGAATTCAGGGAACCTCAACCCAGAATTTCTTACATTTAGGATAACAAGTTTCACATCCCTATCTTGAACCACAGAAAACTTTTAAATGAGATCTGCTATACCATTGATACTGACACCTCTGCTTTTACAACTATCAAGCCCATTTTTCCCAACTAAAATAATAAGGTGAACTTGGCCTGTCATTAAATATTTATAAATATTTGTGGGAAGGCAGATAAGAAATACTAAGTTCATTCAATATTCAACAACACATCTTTACACAGCCCTACACTGCCCCTACAACATTGCAATGTAACTTCAACCAACGAAGAACTCCAGATACATGCAAGTTACCTGTTTAAGCTGAATTTCTGAATTAACATGGACATCACAGATTTCACAATGGAACGTCTTGTTCTGCAGTCCTGAGCCTTTGCTGCCATTCTGCACCTTCATTCGGGATCCAGGCCTAGGGTAAGACTTGATGGGACCAGCACCATTCCGAGCTTCAACCATGGTCTTGTGCTTGGAGCCTAATGGGCAAGGAGATGCAGGTGAGTTCATGATCAGCAGCACAAACATTCCCTCAGCTTTGGGACTTTGTAACATTTATTTCCAAGACAGAATGGTTAAAGTCACCACAGACTGGGACTAATGATCACTCTTGTTTCAGTCAGTGTAGTTCCTGCGTTCTTGATCTAAAGGCAAGCCAGAAGGCTTTGTGCAAAAAAGAGAACAGCAGGCATGCTGGACCACACTGTTTGGGGGCAGTATGTGCCAGGATGGCCAAAGTGCTTGCTGCCTATTCTTTTGCCAAATTCCATAGAGCCAGTAAATTTCAGAAAAGGGTTAGCCAACACTGGGACAGGAACCACAGCAATCCCTCAAAACCTGCCCAGGAACTGTAATACTTCAATAAATATCCTCTGATTTGGAAGAAATGTCTGCTTTATCCATTTCAAGAACGGATTACAGCTGTAAAACCAGCTTCAATAGCTTGTTAATAAGCTTTACATCACCAACACACCATACACAGACAGAGCACACTAGAGATTGCTGCTTGTAGCCCAAAAAAAGACACATAACTAATCTTCAATAATCAAAAGATTCTATGACATCTAGGAAACCTAATGATCCCACCCTAAAATTATAAAAAAATCAAATAACAAATAAATTACTGTAAGTTTTACCAGCAAAATAACAGATACTAATGATAATGAGATAAAATATGAAAGAGAGAGAACACTGGCATTTTATAAACCTTAAGTGTTGTAGAAACCACTATGATCTTACTGTGATCCTCAGTGTGAAGGTGTGAAGGGATCCAATTAGTTAACATGAACTGTAGGGATTTTGTCAACTAAAAATTTAGAGTATACGAAGGACAGTTAAAAAAAAATTAGAGAGTGCTTTAATAGAATCTCAAAAAACACACAGGAAACTGTTATTAACAGGACCAGTGTTTTAACTTGCTATTTTAAGTTTTAACTAAAAGCTGCTTCAGTGAAGTGTGGTCACCGCCTTGTAACATTGAATTTTAAAAATGTTAACACACAGCTGACTTGTACCATATGGATACTCACCTGTATTGTGGGCTTCTAGTTGTGAAAGGGAATTCACAGCCACTTTGCATAATGAACAGTAAAGTAGTTTTTTGGCTTTTTCCTCTTCTGACTCAGTAACTGTGTTAGCAGCTCCATTGGTGCTCTTGGAAGATGAGGCAGGTGCTGCAGGCACCACTCCAGGTTTGGGAAGAAAAGGATCCACTTCTGTACTGGACTGCTGACTTGCACTGTCGGGTTTTTCTTTCCCTTTATCTTCTAAAAGAAACAAAACACATATGTTTTTGTTTCATGCCACACATACAAAAAACATACAGTAATAGTCCTGTGGGCTTAGTAAACATAACACAACAGGGGGCTAATTTATCTCATTTTTATAAAAGAGACCAGCATCCTTGAAATCTTGTTAAAAGTCCTGCCATGAAATATGTGTAATTTGACAAAGGGGTGATTTTCCTGTTTTTAAAGTTACCAGTGAATACCAACGAATTCACCATATTCATGCCAGCTGTTCCTGTTGTGCTGCAGGCATGGCCAGCTGAAAGGAGCCCAAGCAATACCAAAGGAAGCCAGGCTTAAGGACTGGACAACACTGAGAAACAAGCAGGGCTTTGCACTAGGGATTAAGAAATATTTCTCAAAAGCAATACATTTGCCTTTGGAAGGGCCCATGTTTCTCAAAGTCACTGGGAGGACACTGAAAGGCTCCAGTACCATCTTGACATACATCCCTTGTTTCAGTTCCAGGAGTTGTGGTACTACACATTAACATAGCTGCTAATATTTTTAGCTTTTTCCATTAATGACTCCTATATATTTGTGGATCAGGTGGCTTTTGTGTGCATTCAGTGCATTCCTTTATCACTTCACAAGCATGAGTCTGTGCTTCTATGAGGCAGGTATTACTTCATTTTGCAGATGGTGATCAAAAAGCAGGAGATAAAACATCTCAGCTGTGCCTACAGAGGAACTTTGTGCCAGAGCCAGTATTTAAATGATCCCTGCTTACATGCTCATTGCATTTGAAGCTGTTCAACCGGAGGGCTTGTGACCACAAGCCATGTTAGCTGCCAGCAGTAAAACAAGCTCTGTCCAAAACAAGCACAGGATGGGAGGGGGACAGTGCAGGGGTGCTGGTATGAGCAACCCCAGCAAAACAGACATGAATAAATGTCACTCTGAACAGCTGGAATCAAATTTCTTCATCTAAGCAAGTACCACATCTACATAAGAGCAACCCTCCCCATTAATTTGAAATAAGAATTGAACAGACTTGAAAAACTAGGGTATATTTTGAGCATTTATTTTTTAACATGGACCCTTGCACTTTGTGTTTATAGCTACCAAACTTCATCTTAATATACCTTTGTGTATCAGGCCAAGACTGTGCTACCAAGAACAGGATTGTAACCACTCAAGCAAACACTTGAAAGTGTGTATGAACTATGAATAGCCATCCTGAAACTAACCCCCACAGCTGCTGGCATATTTCCCAGAAGTGCATTGCAGTACATCAATTTTGGATTGTTATAAACCAGAAGAAAGAAAACCCTAATAAAAGAACTATTATTTTTAAAAATAACAATAAAAATACTTGGAAATTACACAATATGAACTGTATTAAACATTGAAAATAGTCAAGAACAAAGAATACTATTATGATCAAATTAATGTTAAAACCAGATTCTGAAGGTATTCTGATTGACAAAGTATGATAAAAGAAACTGATGTTAAATTGTACTTCATAGGCTATTCATTTTAAAGTCTCCATAGTAGGTCACATCTGCAAAAATCTAGAATAATTTATATGACTTATGAGTCTTTATGAAATAGAGTTTCAATAAATAACATTTGCTAACATTCTAAATTAAAGAGTTTCAATATGGAAAATTCTCAAAGGTGATAACATCTATAAATGAAACACATTGAGTAGCTGTCATTTACAAATATACATTACTGAAAAATAGAATTGTTGTTGTTGTTTGTGTTCTGTGGAGATCCTAGGAGCATCCCCTAGGTTAGGGAGACACAAGAAGTTTCCCACAAAAAGCTGTTGAGACCCCATTGGCTCCTCCTCTTGTTCCTCTGTCCCTGAACTACTCCCTCCCCATGCCCTCACTGGCCATGATTTTGGTACTGCCTGGATGCCACTGCCCAGCCCCTGCCTCTGGGGAGAGAGAAACCTGGACTCCCCATGAGTGTGCCTTGGACCCTGAACATCTCACCACATGGCTGAATTAAACATCTGTGGATATCAGGCAAAGGCCCTTTTGCTTCCTTACTCTGGACTTTATTAACAACAATTCAGGCTACAGCATTGTAGTCTGAATATGCAATATTATACCAAATTGCAAAAGGTGTAACACTAAGATATATGTGAACCAAAATGGAATAAAGGAAGGTTCCACAGGATTTTGCATTTCAGGCGTTAAAGGAAAGATACACCTACATAACTGTAGGCTGTATGTTAACATATACCAACTACACTTCTAATTTGGCTTTGGGATTTTTTTATATATAAATACATGGGATTTTGTTCCCTATGTGCTTTTTTTAATGTAAGGATAAAAATTTGCTGGTTTTGAAACATCACCCATGTGCAAAAACCACAGTGCTTACCCTCATGCCCACAGCCCCTGCCTGCACTGATCTCACTGACCACAACAAGAGGGAGTAGACTTTGTTTTGCCATCAAATTTTGTCTGTGGAGTAAGATCCCAAGATATGGAAGAAGTTCCATTTTACATGGGCCACCAATTACCATCATAGCGATGGTTTTCCAACACTGAATTTAAGAGATGATTGAAAAAATTACAGATTTCATTTCCCACTTCTTCTCACTTAGCTGGCCAACAGCTGATGTAGTATGTTGATTTTTATAATGCTTGCCAGATTTACAGTGTTTTCACTATTCATTTTCCAAAAATTCTAGAGTACACACACTAACAAGAAAACTTCTACAGAACCAGAGAGAAGTTACCAGCATGCAGCTGGGCTCAATTCTGCCAGTATTGCAGCTTTTGGGAAGAACCTCAGTTCACATAATAATTCCATCATTTGGAAAGCTTCCTGACACAAATAAGCTCTTCATCGATGGGGATGTATAAGGAGAGACATACAAGCTCTCTATGAATTAATGTTTCCTTCCACCATTCTAAATGTTTAATGCAGAACATCTTCAAAGATCATCATTGTAAGGTTATTATACAGTTGAACTCCCACAGAAAGTACACGGAGCTAAGTGCGTATTTGTCACTGCAATGGGCTCAGAACTGCATTTTCCTGGCTTCTAAAATCAGAAAATTGCACTTCTCCAAATGGGCTTTTGATAACAGCTTATTGTTTCAATCCATATCATTCAAAACACCATTACTTACAGTTTTATGTTTGAGACAGAAATGCCAACTATTCAACAGTGCAAAGCACAGGAAATGCCAATTGCATGTATATACAAATCACAAAGACCATTACTCTTTTATTTGTACTTACAGCACAGAGATAACAATATCTGTATGCAGAACTCAAAAAATGTAAAAATGTAACAGCTTAGGGCTGCATGCATACCCATACTTCCCAGCTATCACCACCTTAGAAAACAGATGTGACTTGTGAGATGCAGCTGTAGGATTACAGTCCTCTTGCTATTCTGAAGGTATTTATTGAGAATAGGCTCAGATTTGCTCTAAACTCTACCTGGCTCAAGCCCAATAGAGCCAGGCAGAGCCCAGACGAGTGCAGGAGTGAGTCCATCCTGCCTGGATCATGGGCACACCAGCCTCTGCTGCACAGCTCAGCAGAACACAGCTGCAAGCATGAGACCAGGGCAGAACCAGCCTACTGCCTGAAGGCAGTAGCTATGATTCAGTCTGCATCATGGTCAGGTTGAAACGCTCACACCAAAACTCAAGTGCAAGAAATTAATTTAAACTCTAATTTGTATTGTTTCCCTATGTTCCTTTTCCATGCAGAAAAGCCATATTTCATGTGACTTAAATTCCTCTCTTAAATTCCAGAAAAGTAAATTGATGATTCAGGTTCTTACTGAAGCCTGGATTTATTTTGAAATAGAGCCCAGGGAAAATACCTAAAGCAAGATAATTAAGTATTGCTTTGGGCTCAGTAATATCAATGCTTTTCTCACCCATTACATTGTTTTAATTCTCCTTTGAAGTTGTTTTCATATATTTCTGCTTGTTTGACTCATGCTTGTGTCAGTGCCACGTTAACATTCAAGACTTATTTATCTGATCAGTACTGCCTCATTTCGAGTACCAAAGTCAGGACACTGCAGGGCAACACCTCACAGGTTCAAAACTACAGGTTCTACTGCTTCACTTCTACAGCTGAAGTGACTCACTGACCCTGCAGGTCATGCCACTCTCAGTGCAGTTGCTGTGGGATACAGAATAGGTTTTACCCATTGATGGCATTTATTTCTTTTTGAGTCAGAGGAATGCTTTGGTGCACATTAGAAAGAAGTTTTATTTGGACTTCATAATGAAATAATACATGCTATTTTCAACAACAACAACTAAAAAAAGAGTAACTTAATATTCACATCATCAATTCAAAATTTACATTCTTTATAAAAATAAAAGCAATGTAAATTTAAAACTCATGTATATATTTAGAAATCTGATGAACTTTTTCAGTATCAAAAATGTTCATTGCTAGTTCCACCACTCAACATGCCTACCTGCCCAATTTTTATCACTGATGATACATAAGACGTCTTTACAATAAAGTTCTGTTCCATAACAGATTGTACAAATAGTTAGAATTAAAATATCCGAGGTACTGATGATATGTGATAAACTTGCACGAACCCTTTCCAATACATATGCTAAAAAGCCTTTCAGATATGAAGTTCTGCTACAATCCTAATAACGCTTACAAAACTGTCACATTTTCAAACTGTCAAATTTTCTGCTATATGTAATAAATAAACAAATTCGCTCTTGCTGTGACAGTAACAGAACAATGTTTCAATTACTTAAAATGCATATTTTGTGTCTGTCTGCATGCAATAATACACTTGCCTGCTTCCCTTCTTCACCAGAAACGGGGACTGTTGTGCACAGCCTGTGCTGAAGGCTGGGCATACAGAGAGGGAAGGATCCTGGCACTAAGAGCTGTCCAGCACTGACTGTGGTGCAGTTGGTTCTCCACTGGGAAGAGACCATGCCCTGCTTACATCACCCACTGCCCAGCTTCAGCTTCACAACTTCCCTTGTGCCACGTCCTTCACTGCATCCCCC